TCCGGGTGTGCATGTGACTTACAAGCCACGTCACAAATACAAAAAGAGCGGTTCGTTTATTGGCGGTGGAAAAACGATGTCTATTACATTTACACAAGTGATCAGCGTAACGAACAGCTATCCTCGGAGTCTACAAATCACGGTGATCGACCAACTTCCTGTGAGCACTGACGACAAACTGAAGGTGAGTCATGTAGATATTTAAAGGGGTCAAATTTTTCTAAGTCCGTGTTAGATTCGGGAAAAACTGAAAAAATATTGACATTTATGTGCATGTCTAGATTAATCACATGATAGGATTCCTTTGATTTACAAATCTGGGGTTCAATCAAGGTCTTTTTTCTACTTCAGGCGTTTATTGCTTAGGGACAACTATTCTGAAACCTTGGTCTTTGATATATAATGGAGCCAGTTGAGAATTAAGTTCGGTCACCCTTCCAAACCCTGATTCATGCAACTTTCCCATTGTGACAGCTGACAGATCCTCCGATTTCGTTTGAAACTTACAATAGACCGCCACCTTCTGTTTTATCCCAGAAGACCCCCATACTAATAAATGAACCCGTGACGATGCCTGAGCCACCATCATCATAAAATATTCTCATGAAGTTCAGTAAAACTCTAGTAAAAGAATCAAAGAATTCGAGAACGTATTCCACGGTAAATTGAGGCGACAAGACTATAGTCGGTGGTATCAGGAGGACACTGCGTGCTCATGCAGTCATATAGACCGCGGGTATGCAACTTAACTAGCCATCCGAGTCAGAATACCCTTTTCAAAGACCACCGTACATTCATTATCATTATCACCAGCTGTGAGAGTCGCATACTTGTCGTACACCCCAACATACTTTGTTTCCAGTTCTCTGCACATGGCTGGGCAATGATACGATGCGACAACCAAGGCCTGGCTAGTAATGTGCTGTCAAGTTATTAGGTCTTGAACCTGTAAGGGAAGCAGTTCAGACTTGAAGTGTAGCTGGTATCATCGGTTTGACCCACCTATTTACACTGCTTCAGAAAGTGACATGTATGAAGTTTAAGTTAGCTAATTACACCATTTTGGAAACCGACAAAATATGTGGTCACATTTGATCTTATTTGGTAGTGACAGGGTGTATTCTTCGTGAGCCTATACTAAGCCTAAACGGTGGAATGTAAGCTCGTAAAATTTCTTCACTTATATCAGAAGAAAACAAAACTAAAAGTCATGAAATTTTCTGTGAACGCATGGATTTTTCAGTCAGTCAGTAAACCGATCAGTCAAGTCGGTAAGTCGGTCAAATGGACTGCCAGTGGTTCGTTCACAGTATGCTCTAACTTAGTACGGTTTTATCAGCCATTTGGTTGGTGTCTTGAAACCAATACTTATGGTTTTACAACAAATGGTTCTAAGCATTAACTGCAGCAATGAATACCTTTTGTCTACAGCTTATTCGTCGTGTGAAATACCGTCCTTCTCTTTTACTTATGTATTTATGACCATCGTTGAAGCCAAGTAATGGTGTGATGCTCTCCACTATTTAAGGTACAACTGTTGGAACCGTCAGTAAAAAACTTGGACAGATATGACTCGACAAAACCTGTTAGGATTACGAAAAACCGGACAATCGAATGGGTTGTGAAATTATCACCATGTGAGTTCCAGTTTGAACAAATTCAACGTTGTATCACTGTTTCCTGACTGGACCTGCTTTCAGTCTGTTCACCTTTGTTGACGAACACAATTTGTACTGTTGAACTGACTGAGTACACCTACT